GAAATGTTGAAATGCAAGGAGAGGGATGTCGATGACGACCCCATTTTCGTTTCCTCGCTAATGCTTTTTTTCTTCTTTTTTTTTTGGAAAAGTGACATTTTTAGTTCTTTTAATTCCCTTATATAATAATTTGTGCGTTCCTTTCTCCATTCCAAATTTCCAGAACCTTGTAAGGAATTACATATTCTGTTTATTACTTTAATCATCCATTAGTTCATCAGTAATTCCAAAATCCCCTTGCATCTACTGTTCCCAAATCGTAAAACCCATCAATGCGAAACAGTTTTTGAAACTTGAGGGTTAAAAGGGAATATGGGATCTAGTGGAGACAAGCTTATTGGAGCGGTGGGTTATGATTGCCATCGTTGTCAGAGACAAAGTACTGGGTGGAGGAGGAAGGGGAAGATTTGGGGAGGATTAGAGAAGAGAATACATCATGGGGAGGTGAACTAATTGGTGAGAAAGGGGGTGGGGTGAGACTCCGTTAAACTGTATTATTAATGTGTGCTGAGATATTTTTAATGAATCTAATGAAACGATGAGGTGGGCAAATTTAATGAGGTGTCGCTGTTTGATTAGTTCGAGATACCACGTCAGCTGGTATACCCATGATATACTAGAATTTCTCCATCCAGATCTGATTTCCCCCTCTCCCTTTCGAGAAAGTCTGGGGTATCACCTGGATACCACGTCAGCGGTATCCTGGTCCAATTAAAAACCCCCACATCACCCTTTTCTTTTACACCTCATCAATCAGATAACGAAGGGAAAACAAATGGCAAAACTAAATTAACTCACTGGCAAATCTTTTCAAAATAAAGTTCTCAGCACTGTTTTTTCTTCGGCATCTCCCCAGCCCTTCCTTTAGCATCTTTTTCCCTTTATCAATTTTTTTTTCTTTCTAATTTTATTTTTGAACACAGCTACCATATTCTTCTCTTCACAGCATCTATAGAGACTCAGCAGTCATAGCTATTGCAATTTCAGATTGCAATTGTTAAGTTTCTTGGTGAAACTAACTATTTTCTCTTGCTTGGGTATAGCTATTTTTAATTAATAATTTGCAATTGCTAAGTTTTGCTTGTGCAATTTGTGGATGTATGCTTTTTGGTTAATTTGGTTGATTTGGCTGAAGGAAGAATAGTTAGAACTAATTATAAGAAATTAAACATTTTTCATGCCCACCAACTGTTTGATGTATTTCTTGAGTTAAGATTACCTAAAGGGGACAATGTTTAAGCAAGCTTGAGGAAGATTTTGTTCTTTTTCACAAAAATCCTGTGTTTTTGATGTATTTCCTAACTTATAGCATCAACGGGACATTCTTCTTTGTTGGCTGGGATAACTCTATTTATTGATCCTTTATTGAGTCTAAATATCATCTTGATTGGAGATAGGTTTATTGTGCTTTTTCTATGCCATTGGTGATAATAGGTAACTTGCATCCATAGCATTAGAAGATGAAATTCTTGCCTTTTCTTATCAATTTTTTTAGTTTATTTGCTATGCAGGTCATTGATTTTTGGTTAGCTGAGCTACCTATAAACCCTCAAACCAATGACATATAGATTGAGAATGGGACTAAGATGTAAAGTTCAAAGAAGTTGGCTTTTCAGAGCATGTTTGGTGCAGCTCCTAGGAGCTTCAGCTTTTGGACACTATTCATGTCTCATGAATTTAAATTTCCCTCTTAAAAACTTACACTTTTAAATATTTTTTTAACTTCAAAAAACTCTTAAACAGTAAAAGTTCAAAAGTTTCAAATCCAAACTTTTCATAAACTCCCTTTTTACTTATTTTTCACTCCCTTTTTCACCTTCCTAAAAGTTAAAACTCTATTTTCCCTCCAATAAAAATTTAAACTTATCACTCATAACAGTACTCAAAAAGTTAAAGCTCTCACCAGCCACACCAAACAGGTCCTCATTATCTAGGAAATCCCATTTAGGGAGTTAGCCACGGCACATTGACAATTGGAAGAAAAACAAAACGGGAACATCAAGATTCAAGAATTGCTTTGTTTTTTCTTCTTTTTTTTTTTGTCAAAAAAATTGTCTTGTATCATTTTCACAAGAAAATTTTCTTGTATTTTTTTAAGAGAATTGCAATGTATTTTGACATATTATTTTATTATTAATAAAAGCTCATCTTTTTAATAAAAAGCTCACTTTTTAATCAAAGCTCATTTTTTAATCAAAGAGTGTTATTTTGGTATAAATTTAGCTCTTGAAATAGATTATTATCTAAATATGAGTAAATAATGCATGCAATTGAAAAAGCCAAATGAAGAACTTCCAATCTCAAAAGTCATAAAAGGTATTTGTGGATAAAATCATTTGTAATTCTAAAAAATTAAAAAATTTATAATGTCTATTATAACCAATTATAGAAAAAGAACATAAATCCAATTCACAATAAAATTGCCTAAAGCAAATGGAAAGCAAACCACTTTTGGAAAAGAATCAAGAAGATGAAGGTCCACTTTTTGATTCATAAAAGAAGAGTAAATTAGATGGAACAGGGAAAATCTTCAATATAAATATTTTTGTATTTTTGTATTTTTGCCTATAATTGATTGTAATACCAAAAGTCTCCAAAATAATGAAATGAAAAAAAGAAAGAAAATGAGAGAAGCGGGAAAAGCGGGAAACAAATTTTATTTTGGAAAAATTGCAGTGAGTTAAATGCTGAAAAAAAAGTCTGCAGAGAATTTCATTTCGGAAAGATTTTCCGTTAGTTAAATGCCGTGAGTTAAATTTGGGTTTGCTGTTTGTTTCCCTCTCCATTTGCTGATTGACGAGGTGTTAAAAAAAGGGTGATGTGGGGGTTTTTAATTGGACCGGGATACCACGTCAGTGGAATCCCGGTGATACCCCAGACTTTCTCCTCCCTTTCTCGTTCGCTTGCCGACCAAACGGCCCCAGTTCTCGGACAGCCTCACATCAGACAAAGCACAGCCCTCCCCGCCCTTTGCTTTTCCTGAAGAGAGAGCAGTGCTTGTCGGTGGAGGAATGGGTCAACAGTCCGATCAGCAGTGAAGAAAACAGGGGAGCAATCAAAGGGCTAAAAAGAGGAGAGAATAAGCAATCTGAGGCAAGTCCTAGGTTTCTTCAAACTTTTTGTATAAATAGAGAGGGAGAATCGGAAGAAGGGGGCGGACGGAAAAAAAAAATCGAGCCGAGAAAAAAAAGGAGGAGATCCCAGAGCCTTGGGTACCGGCGGAAGGAGGAATTTCTTGAGTGCCCTATTGCTTGTAATCTGATATTTGAGGTACAATACTCGTCCCTTTCAATTTCATGTAATTTATTTACAATGAAATGAGAAATTGATTATTAAGTTTTTGCTCTGCTATTATTTTCTGTTGATGTTGTGAATATCTGAATTCATCGAGTTTCAGGTACCGACCCAATACTTTGTCTCCCTAATTCGAGATTCTATACATCTTTTATGTGCGCCACTTATTCTGGAGACTTCTGCTTTCTGAATTAATTTTGATCCCCTGTGCTCCCTGATTATGTGTTTGTGTAAATTCCTCCTTACTTGTGAAGTCATGATTTTAGATTTTTGCATATGCCTGGTGTTGCTTTCCTTCTCTGGACATTTTGCCTTCTAATAGTTTGACAGTTTTCATAATTTTCTGATGCATCCATTTCAGATTATATAGCCTTCCGTTGAAACAAAGAGATTAATATCATGTCCTTCCATTGTTAACTAAAATTGTTACTAAATTAAAATAAAAATCGAAACTCCCCTTCAACTAGGGGATTTATATAGTATAACTTTAGCACGATTGTTATAAATTTCATTCTGTAGTACGATTATTTAGAAAACATTAAAAAAATGTGTAGAATAGAAAGAATTTCCATCATTCTAATTCAGAGATTACTGCTAATTCTCTGTTAATTGGTCTCCTAGGGATGTTTGGCACTTGTCTGTGCTCCATCTGTATGGCCAAAGGGATTTGGTGGCATTTTCAAACTGTTTGCTTCTCCTTCCAACATATGAACCACGGATTTCATTGATGGTCGCTTTGTTGGATACCACTGGAAGCACCAAAGTCCAACAATTGTCAGTTTTCTTGCTATCTTGGCATGCCCCTCATTTTCTATTCTAATCCCCAGAACTTCTCCTATCTCCAAGCAATTATACACCCATTCTGGGAAATAAACTTGGCTTGTACTCCCCACTGTGATGTCAATATTCTTCCTCCCTCCTACCATTTCCAACAATAGCATTCCAAAACTATAAACATCTGATTTATATGACACTTTTCCAAAGTTCCTAGACAGTACCTCAGGTGCAATATATCCCATTGTTCCTCCGGCTGCTGTCATAGAAACAGCACTTTGTTCTTTGGAACACAGCTTTGCTAGACCAAAGTCGGAGATCTTCGGATTGAAGTTTGGTCTAGCAAGATATTGTGAGGCTTGATGTCAAAATGAAGGATTTGTTGATCACAACCTTGGTGCAGGTACTCAATTCCTTTCGCTATTCCTATTGCAATATCTTGAAGATTCTCCCAACTGAGGGAACGACTTTGGTTTCTGGTTGCAAAGATAAACTTCTCCAATGATTCAGTTGGCATGTACTCGTAAACAAGAGCTTTTTTATTTCCATCTGCACAATATCCAATCAAGCGAGTGACGTTGACATGATGGATTCTGCACATTGATCCAACTTCATTAATGAATTCTTCTCCAGTTGCTTCGAAATTGTTGAGGACCTTAACAGCAACCAAAACATCGTTAGAAAGCCTTCCTTTGAAAACAGTTCCATAAGCACCTTCTCCTAGTTTGTCCTTGAACTGATCTGTTATTCTCTTGATATCAGCGTAAGAATATCTTGAGGGCTTGAGTGCTTTGTAATCCTCCAGAAATTTCTCAATCTTGAGTTGGCCCTCTTTCTTTGATCTATATGAGAGGTGCACACGGTAAAGTCCAATGAGGATTATTACAAATAGACCGAAACCTAGGATTATGCCCGCAACCAATAGCATTTTCCGCATAACTGCAAAACGTTTCAACAATCAGCAGCTTGATGTGTTTATCAAATAAAAATAAATAAATAAATAAATAAAAGGAAGAGAGAGAGAGACCATATAAAAGCAAGTCAAAACCAAAGTACCAAAAGAACAACACCAAGGCAATTGAACAACTAAAGTCAGGAAAAATTTTAACAACTTAAAACAATGCAAAATTAAAAACAGCTAAATTAGTGAGCATTGCAAGGAGTATTCATAACATTGTGGAATGGTTAAAACTTAAAAGTATAAGGTTGTAGTTTTTAAGTCAAGACTGTCTAAAAAGCGTCAGTTTGTTTGGGAATGACCAAAATAGCATTCATGAATCCACATGCGGGTCATAATAGCATTTATGTAAAAGCATACCTCTTTGATTCTTGGTGGTACCATAACACTCTGTGTCATCCTGTGTCCTATTATTATTCTTCAACTTGCATTTGCTGCCTACTTCTTCACATTTACTACAATCTGGTTGGGACCAACTCAAATGAACATCCCCTGTCTGGTAATACAACATTTCTTCGTATACTGCTGTCTCCGATTTGTTGAGTAACGTTCTCCTGCAACTTAACAAGTTAAAAGCATGTGTATAATTGGAAGGAAAAGCTAGGACTTGGAAGCCTGGGACGCTTAAGCAAGGAATCTCGTAAAATTCATAATTAATACCCACAGTTGCTTCCCTTGAACAGTTGAAAAGACTGTACTTTGACTCCGCATAATTGAACGAGAAGGGAGTTTGTCTCAAGTACTGAAAGGGAGATGCTGATAAATTGAGATTGGGAAGTTGCAGGGGAAGGCAACCCTGAGGATCATATAACTGAATCCTCTTTGCTTTGTAATCTATACGCTTCACGAACAACTTTACATTCCATGGCAACTCGAGCACAGTCTGCTTGTCTTCGCAGGAGAGTTCAAACCCATGATAGCCGCAGTGTTCCGGTTGTTGTCCCTTTAGCCAGAACGGGAACCGGATGGTATGGTGGTTGCACTTTTTGGTTTGGCATTCATCTTTGGCAGCTTGGAGCTCTGCAACCTTCACTACAAAGAGAAAGCAGAAGAGAAAAACAGAGTTCTTGAAGAAGCTTTCCATCTCTGAAAAATTGAATCCAAATCCAATGGGGTTTGGGTTTGGGATACATAATACCAAAAATGAGAAAGGAGAAGATGTTCAAGTTGAGGAATTTTGACGAGAACTTATTTTGACTTTTCAAAGGTGGACGTTCCTTTATCGTATTTCTTTATTGTCTTTCTTTGAAATTGAATTTCGGACTCTCTATTTTTTGGCTTTTTTAAACGTTGGGTGAGACTCAACTCACACTATCAAATTTACGGGAGAAGTCCCTTACAAAGGGATTAAGCCGGCAGGACATTCTTGACTTTCTCCTCTTAAATGATTTCAATCATGTGTCTTACAAACAGGATGAATTTAATTTTGCATCCAATCTTTTAGAACACTAGCCATTTTGTGCATAATCTTTTTGTAAAGAATATATACCTCTATGTTTTTAATAAATCTAATGATGAGTTATGAATTATGGAAAAGTATTGTGTAGTCTCACATGAAAATACGAACTACACAACTATAACTACTAATAGGAGAGGGCAATTAAATGTGGGGCATTTCTCTTTTAAAATCAATGATTAATTTATTATATTATACCTTAAATCGAACTATAAAAATTGCTTTCTCTATGAATTATGTTATAGAGGTACCTCCACTTCTATGATCACTTGATCAAGGTTCAAATATGTTTTTAGCCCTTCTTTGAATTGCTTGCCAATTGACCTCAATTAAAGATTAATGACTCAATTGAAATCCTCTCGTAAGCTTAGGGACTCAATTTGACATTCTTCACCCATTATTTTTAAAAGACACCTTTCGTTTTGTCAGGTCCCAGCTCAGAAGCCTGGTCCGATTCTATGATTAGAGAATGCCAAATATAGAAATATTGATAGAGTTTTAAAATCGGGAATCAGGAGCCATTTTTGACTCCACTAGTTTAGATTAGACTGCAACTTGATAGAAAGTATTTTCAATCTTCCATTGAGAATAATGGATTTTTTTAACTTATGGGATGCAAGAGTCATGTTCCAACAACTTGAATGCTTTCTATATATGTTCATCTTAACAGTTGAGGAAGAATGCATTGAAGATGTTTGCTTTATTGCCTCTCAGAATTACCCACCTTGAATTGAAGTGCTAATTGCTAAACGTATAAAGAAATTTTTTTTTTTTGTTCTCATTAGTTTTCTCTCCTGCTCCAGCTTTAGGATGTTAAGAGCAAAACCTGGAGTACTTTTCAGCCTCATGGTCCTTGCTTTCTCTTTCTTTCCTGATGCTTGTATGGCTAGAGCTAAATACAAGCCTTGCTTCCCTTTTTCTTCTTGTGGAAACCTCAGTATTACATACCCTTTTCGATTAAATAGTGATCCTGTTGAGTGTGGTGAGCCAGGGTATGAACTAGTATGCGATAATAATCGCACAACTTTGGTCACAAAAGATGGGAAATTCTTTGTTGAGAACATCACAAACTCTAGTGTTCGACTGGTTGATGCCAATCTTCAGAGGGATATCTGCTCCATTCCTCACAGCTCCCTTCTTCTTGAAGGCACTTGTTGGAAAATGCTTCTTTCTAACTATCTTGTGTATGTTTTAAATTGCAATATACAGATGAATTCATCACTCTATGTTGATGCCTCTGTTGTACCAATAGCTCTTTCTCTCCATATAGTTACTTCTTTGTCTTCAATGAACTAGCACAGGTATCTGATTTCAATGAGTCGTGCACAATTGAAGCCCAATTTCCTTTTTTTTCCCCTAATATCACAGGCCTATCGGCTTCTGCTATTTACCATAAGTTGCTAGAGGGCTTTGAACTGGATAAGGATTGGTTCTCCTTGAATAACAAAACCTGCATCTTTTCATATAAACTTACATTGGACGAGATGTAAGTATTTATAAACTTCTTGACATCTCTTTACTTATTCATTTTATATGAAAAATACCCTTTTCTACGCTCTTCTGCTACTCAATGTTCTTTCATTCTTTGTTTTTGCCTTGATATCACTTAACCAGGCTTTATTTAACATTGTAGATTAGGACCAGTGAAGTATGCATTAGAATCATATCTAGACAGCTTTATATTTTTCCTTCTGGGTGGCCCCCATGTAAAGGATAACACGAATTTTCCACCAAACAGTATGCCTTTTGTAGTTCTTATGAATTATACTCATTTCATTTCATTTTCTCCTTCCTAATATTTAACTGTTCATGTGTGGAATGATGCCTTTTTTTTTTTTTGTAACAGGTACTTATATTAAATGTCTTGGAATAACAGGTATGTGTCAGGTTTTATTTTAAAGTACTTGTACACCATTATGTATAATTTCCTAACTAATGTAGTAATCTGAAATATTTGTAGTTCATATAACTATTGAAAACAGTGATTTAAGCAAATAGAAGAAAATCTCTGGAAAAATATTTAACTTATGGGCATGAGTGCCAGGCCTAGTTTAAGTATCACAATTTCTAGATCATAAGAAAATCTGAGAAAAGCTTCTATTGCATGTGTCCTGGTTTTTATAACTTGTAGACATTCGTCATTGACAGACTCTTTATGTTTATACTGTATTGTTTCTCAATCAGCAAGCATGCTTGAATAATTTGATAAATGCTTTAAATAAATTGAAAATATTATTGATTTTTAAAAGCTTTTCTAATGATCTAGAATAAAGTTAGCCACAAAAATGTAATAATATCCCATGATAATTTTTTTTTTTCACACTGATGCTGTTCCTTTTCAACTTCAAATGTCAGAAGGTACACTTGTAGATACTGATCTGTGTCTGTCTTTTTTCTTGAGAAGGAGCAATTATTTCCACTAGAGCTCTATTGGGGATATCCATCTTGCTTGTGATAGTTGCATACAAACTTCAGAGGAGGCATTTGTCTGTGGATAATTTAATTGAAGAGTTCCTTCAGAAACAGAATAACTTCATGCCTATCAGATACACTTACTCAGAAATAAAGAAAATCACTGGAGGTTTTAAGGATAAACTAGGTTAAGGAGGCTATGGTTCAGTCTTTAAAGGAAAGCTTCGAAGTGGACATTTTGTAGCTATAAAATTACTGGGCAGGTCAAAATCAGATGGCCAAGATTTCATCAATGAAGTTGCCACCATGGGTAGGATTCATCATGCTAATGTTATGCAACTCATTGGATTTTGTGTTGAAGGATCAAAACAAGCTCTAGTATATGATTTCATGCCTAATGGGTCCTTGGATAAAGTCATATTTTCAAGAAATAGTGATACATCTCTAGGTTGGGAAAAAATGTTTGAGATTGCTATTGGGGTGGCTAGGGGGATTGAATACTTACATCGAGGATGTGAAATGCAGATTTTACATTTTGATATCAAACCACACAATATCCTTCTGGATGAGAATTTTAACCCTAAAGTTTCTGATTTTGGCCTTGCTAAACTATATCCTGCAAATGATAGTGTTGTATCTCTCACTGCAGTAACAGGTACATTAGGATACATGGCTCCTGAATTATTCTACAAAAAAATTGGAGGCATCTCATAAAAGGCTGATGTTTATAGCTTTGGAATGTTGTTGATGGAAATGGTGGCAGGAAGAATGAACACAAATTCATTTTCTGACCAATCAAGTCAGATATACTTTCCAGCATGGATTCATGAGCGATTTGATCAGGGAGAGGACATAGAGTTGGGAGATGTTACAGATATTGAAAAGAATCTTGTTAGGAAGATTGTCATAGTTGCATTGTGGTGCATACAAATGAAACCTGCTATTCATCCTTCAATGAGCAAAGTCTTGGAGATGCTTGAAAGCGAAGTTCAGCTACTTGAAATGCCTCCCAAGCCTTCTTTTGTTCCATATGAATTGTAGACTGCAAATCATGTCAATATAAATGTCAATATAAGACAAGCAGCCCAGCCAACTATGTCACTGGATGCTAGAACGTAAGGTGCACTCCAAATGCCTTACCTTGGCTTGCTTACACATAACAGCGTCACATATGTTTACATATACTGCATTGTTTATTAAGTAAATGACCTTTTCACAACTCGAATATATCAATCTTCAAAATTTGTACTTTGATTTATTTGATCACATATGGTTTGTTAATGAAATAAGATTACTCTTTTGATAGAATATTTGAGCTTTATTTGATATTCATTTATTTAGAAAATAATCTCATGGCTCTTTCTGTCTTCTATTTACTGATGCTTCTGCTGTTGGAGGCCAGAGCAAGCATTGTGTCCCTTCTTCCTGTGGAACCCTCAGTATTAGTTTCTATTTTGGTTAACAAGAGATAATAGATTAATGTTCCAGGATCTTTTATTACATGAACATTAAATGTTCCATTTTAGGTGAATCCAAAGACTAATAAATTCAACTCTCTCCCATGTGAGCCAAAACATTTCAAAAAAGAAAAATTACAAAAGAAAAGCTTTACTGAATTCGTATGAACTAACTATAAAACATTGATTTTGTTAAACATTTTAACAGTTAGGGGAGATTTGAAAACATCACTAATTAGGGCAGCAACCTAGACCAATGTTATAATGACGTGTTGGCATGATTGTGTTAGTTTTCCTTACAATTGAACAGAAGGTTGCAAACTACCATTGCCAGTTACCTTCCATCTGAAAGCAAACTGATTGTTTCTGTATAATCTGAAGATGAAGATTCAGTTTGATTTGTTTGGTCTCCCACATTCCTTTCTTGTGCCTCTTCAGGAAACAGAACAAGTTTGGGGGGCATTGGTAGGCTTTTGAGTTTTTCTTGAACCATCTCTACAACTTTGTTCATTGGAGGACGATCACTAGGCTTCATCTATATACACCATAATGCTACTAAAATCATCTTCTTTATTATTCTATTTTTTCTTCCTCTGTTGCATCTACTGTCGCTTTATTCGTAATATTTATTTCCAAAAAAATAGTTTTTCCTAAAATAGACTTTGATTATGATCTCATTTAATGTGAAAATATTGATCATTACATGAATTTCATTATAATATTATTATATCAAATTATATTATATTAATCATTAGATGAGGGTGAGTTTTTTAATATTGGGAGTTTCTTCTCCTATCCAATAATTTTTGTTTTACAATTTGATGCAGTTTAAATTGTAAAATAAAGTTTTTATTTTAAAAACAATAATTTAAGATTTTTTAACTTGCACAACTTAGTGAGTATTAAATAAGTTATCAAAACCTTATTGAAGTAATATCTATTTTAGATTTAGTGACTGTTTTAATTGTGGGTTATTTACATTTTATAACGACTGAAATGCTTTCATTTACTTCTTCTATGCAGACTTCTTTTTTTTTTCTTATCCCTCCTTCTCCGTCTGCTTTCTTCTCTCTTTTGCTGCCCCAATGTTTCCCGATTGAAATCATTCTCTTATAGTAAGAGATCAATATCAATTTACATTGCAACTTGAAGTACAAAAATTGAAGAGCATTGTGTGTTAATAGAAAAGTCCCATCAAGAGGAGAACAAGGCATTAAAGGATATGGTGGAGTATAAGTGTGAGAAAAGAGCTAGCAAAGGGAATGACGAAAGATTGGAGAATTCAAAATGCAAAGTCACTTTTTCAAAAATCAGTCAAGTTGCTAATTGAATTCAAGATTCAAATTAAACTCACCATAATTGAGGATTTAAGAAGAAGTAGAGCTAGGGGTGGGCAAGGTTCTGATTAACCCACCAAAAACTGAATAATGAACTGACGTCGGTCGGCGTTTTTACCGAAAATTTGTGTACGGGCCGAAGAGGCGTGGTTTCGGTTTAAACCTGAGTTCTAGTTGGGCGGGATTCAGTTGTGAGGCCCAAAAAACGAAGCCCGATTAAAGCCTCCTACGAAACGAGGCCCAAAATGCCTTTTTTTTCAAGCCCAAATATTTTAGGATTTTTTTAGCTTGGGCAGGATAGTTCCCGGATTCCTTCCTAAAGTCCTAATTAATCGGGATTTGTTTAGCTTGGGCGGGATACCAGTGGTGGAACTAGGGATTTGTTTAGGGTGGGACTTTATACTATAATATAGATTATAGGTATGGTTATTAATAAAAAAATAAATTGATTATAATTAAAATTATTATAACACTAATATATTGATTAAATAAAACACTAACCATATAACTAGTATGAAGATGATTATCATTTTGATTCACATAAAAGATATCATCAATTGAGTTTAAATTCATCATGAATAACTTATTATTTAAAATAAAATAATTGACTGGGACAGTGGGAATAATATAAAAGTTGATGTTGATCCAATCAAATATTGAAGAAGGAGAAGCAACGAAAATGAGAGAGGACCACTTCTTGCGCTTTTAAAATATAAATTTAACAAGTTAAATTACTCATAATCTAACAATAAGTTAAA